GTGTGTGTGTGTGTGTGTGTGTGTGTGTGTGTGTGTGTGTGTGTGTGTGTGTGTGTGTTGGAAAATGGAAAGTAAACGTCAGCTAGAAACATAATCCCTGTGATTTATGACAGTGTCTGGTGTCTCTGTCACTCTAGTGCCAATATCCATCATTTAAATATTTTGTGAACATGGGCTGGGGAATTCATGGACTCTGTTTTAGTAGAATTTCTTTTATCCTTTAAAAGCAAATAAATAAAAATCTTTGCAGATTACCTGGAGGGAATACCCTCTCAGAGAAAGAAATTGACAATCTCATGCTTACAGAAGCATGGGGAAAGCCCCTGATTGGGACTTGATGGGTACACCCCTGACTGGAACTTGAACATCACACCAAAATCCACTGCAAACATATTTGCTCTTTTACAGGCATCTGAACTGCTCTTCCAAGTCATTCGCTGAGAATTTTCTCTGGTCATGTCAAAATAAAAAATCCTTTTTCAAAAGCACTGTTTTTTGTTTGTTTGTTTGTTTGTTTGTTTTGTTTTTGTTTTTGTTTTTTAAGGTATAAGCAATGCACTATCCTTACAGGCCGGGTCTCCCTCACACTGCCAGCACAGGAACAGAAACTCAGGGACACTGAAGCTCTTTTGCCAGCGGATTAGCCTAAAGGTCCCTTTGACTCCCCACCTAGGAAGAATCACAAAAGCATGGAAAAACCAGAACAAAACCAAAGAAAGAAAACGGAAACGGAAACTACACGCACACAAAACCTTCTGCCTAAGTCACAAGACACCGTGTTCAGTCCTGTCTCCTCCTTCACTGGACTGGCTGTCTAACTCGTGAACAACCTGCCTCCTAAAGTTGGCCATTCGAGCTGTGCTAAGTTGGCAGCAGACTGCCTGGTCCCCATCATCTCACTGACAACCGAGACCTAACACATGCTTTCAGAGAAATGAATAATCCTGTTTTTCCATTTATCCTAAACATCTTCTAATCGTCTGAATGACAAGAAATCTATCTATCTATATGAATATATTATAAATATATTTACCTGAAAAGTACTATTCAATTACAAGGCTTTCAACTTATTCCTAATAGAGGTATTTAACTTTCTAGTCATCGGAATGATGAGGGAGAGCTAATACATCATTTCAAAATGTGAACAATTTTAAAGTTTTTCCATTTATTCAAAACAGGTCATCGGCATAAGAAAAAATAAATAAAGTTCTGGTTTTTTTTATAAGTCTGTGAGGTTTATAATGATAAAACTTTTCCCCACAACATGAAGTATTGATCCAGACAGCATTTTTGATGAGTTGATTCATCTTAACCAAAAATATATAAACGTACATAATATGCAGTATTTTTTAACCTTAGTTTTCAGATCATGGTTTTTGGCTTGTCCCCTTTTTAATGCTCCGTGGCAGACAACGGTCACTGCTTGCCGAGCCCACTGTGGGGAGCAGAGCTCAGTTCATATCACTGCATGTCAGCGGGGCTCCCTAGTGTAGATTTCCTGTGAGCCTCTTCCTCAGCAGGTGCCAAGAATCAAATCTTGGCCACTTAGTGCTCTGTGTTCCACATGTGAGCTCATGATGGACCGAGCAGCCATGCTAACTGAGATAGATAGCCCTGTCAAACAGGAAGCTGGCACGCCAGGATGCAAGCGACGAGATGCAATGACCTTTCCTATATATATAGATCTCCCTAAAATGGCATGAAAGTCTACTGGGACAGGGCAAGGGTTCTTTTATTTCATTTCGGCACATCACATGAAATAAAGCAGTGGTGTCCAGTCTACAGTTTGGGGGATCAAATCCTGAATCTCTCACAAGGAAAGTTGTTGAGGCAAAGAAGCCAGTCCTCCTTCAGTGAGCTGCTCTGAAAGCAGCGGCCGCCACAGGTTAGCTGCCGCCCCTGCACCCAGCCTGCCCAGGGGCAGGTTTCTACACTGAGATGCACAGGACATGCTTGCAGGGCACACTCACCTGACAAGACGTGCTTGGCCACCCTGGTAGAACCACTATCGGTTAAACAAAGCCTGCTTTTTAAGAGGCACTAATGCACGCACTAAAGTGCACACAGAACTGGGGGAAGAGCTTGAAAGTCTGAGTTCCCCCTCCCAGGCTTCTGCATTTGTAGCTCTATAAACACCTGATACCTCCGTGCTATCTTATCAGAACAAACTGAAGACAACTGATCTCTCTTATGAACAAAATGAAGCCACACTCAAGACATACCAAAAAATTTCGGGAACCACAGCAATGTTAAATAAAAATAATAAGAAATTAGCATATAAAGTGAGCCAGGGATGTTACAAATTTCTCACCTTTATTTATAGCTATTATCATAAATTATGTGATTCAGTCATTTCATTTGAAAAACAAGGATAATAATTCTACTGGCTCAAGTTTTTTTTTTTTTTCCTCCCATTATTCAAGGTTTGAGGAATACTGTTATTATTTGTTTTGCTGAGTCTTTGGCATGAGAAAACAATGGACTACGCTCCCAAAGAAACAAGAGAAACTCACATAAGCTCCTGTGTATAGCCAATATAATACTGCAATTTTAGTAGTTAATTAAATAGGTAAAAGGACTGATTACAAAGAAACTTTTTTTAATGAATGGACCACATCAAAACTGTAGAACAGTTTTCAAAGGTACAAAAGATTAAGATGTAACTGTGTTTTTCTGTTTAATTAAAACCCAGTGGCAAACTGCAGAAACCATAGCCCAAGGCAGTAAATAAATAAATTTCATATGCTTATAAATCATACATTAAGTTTGGATAAGTCAGGGGTCAAATATCTCAGCACTACCTCTGAGAACACAATTTGCTGACTTAGCAAAAAATCCAGAATTATGACTGCAGAAAACACCAGGACAATTGCTTTTAAATACAGGTCAATTTGGGTGACTTTCGAGGTACTGGTCAAATATTTTACAGAACAAGAAAACATGATTCTGTAAGATTTCTGCTGCCTGCTTCCAGATGCAATCCAATAATCGTTTTGCTGCCCTTATTGGAAGAACCGACACTTCTTCAGATAACACAGACGGCTAGGAAGGAAGGAGAGATGAAGGAATACCTTGGGCCTGAGCTGCAGAGCTGTGAGAATACCCCAGGGCCAGGAGCGCGGTCTCCACCAGCTGGCTAAAAAGCACATCTTTTCGCACCAAGACGAACTCGGCATGTTCTTCTCTGTTGTCATATTCGAGAGAGCCATCCAACTGCTCCACCACACAGAAGACTGGAATCATCAAACCTGGGGGGAAACAATCCAACAGCAGAACAGGGGCGTTACAAGGCAATCCGAGCCACCAGGATGAGAAGCGAAGAGGCAGTTCTTAAAGCTATGATCCAGGATAGTTTAGCGTGAACAGCCCTGACAGCTAGGGGCCCCATGCAAAGGCTTCAGGTGAGGAAAACGATCTTTTCGGTAATGACTGTACCATTGCGGCGGCATTGCTGAGGACCTCCAATGTCAGGGATTAAAGGGTAGGCTACACCAAACAGATGTGTCTCAGCACATGGCTCAGGTTGAGGTTAGGCCCTTTAATGTCTATTGTTTTATCAGCATGACCTAACACTAGCATTTTCAGGTCAGCTCCACTTTTGCCTAGAAATGTATTTCAACGCCGCTCGTTTACAGTACCCAGTAGGGAGGCATGTTAGATTTCCAGGCCTGAGATGCTATGTAGGTAGGTAAGTCAACAAGAATTCAAAAGAAGTCCTCTTTTAGGTCTTTATCTTTTCTAATCTCAGTAAACAACCCATCGAGTTAGCTAACGTTTAACTAATAAATAAAACATACAGCTAAATTCAAACTTCATCTTCTTGGAATTACTTTATACATGGACAAAAGTTACCCCTGGGAAAGAATACTTTTCAGTGTTTGTAGATTAAAAAAACATAAACTACACTGAAGAATAAAGCAAATTAGTCTATTTGAAAATCTGTTGAAATCTGTTGTCACTGAAATATTTCTCTGCTTTGTATCAAAGTGTGAAAAGCTTTAAAAAAATGTTTAATTCACCAAACATTTTCTAAACTTTTTTTTTTTATTTTTCAGAAAAAGTCATGTAGGCATTTAAATCTAAACATGGCAAGACAGAAGAAGATCAAAGATTTACCAATGTCCAAGTAATAAACATGGACTCTGCCCTGCGTAACTCACACAAATTAGTACGATGTGGAATGAGGGTCGGCTCTGGGTCTTTGTGCAACAGAACACAAAAGCTATGAAGGATGGGCAGGCAGGGGGAGGGTTGGGAGACCGTGGTGGTCTTGGTATAGGCACTCCATAATGAAAACAAGACCTCTATAAGGTGACTGGGAATAACCCCGACGCACAGAATGTATACGAGGCTGACAGAAGCCCTCCCTGCTCTGACCCCTGAAGCCTCCTGACTCATTGTGATCTGGAGAGAAGAGAGAAGCAGACACTCTGCAGACTCCTGGGCTACAGATTTAAGGTTTTGTTCTACAGATAATACAATGGTGTGACTGGTTCCCATGTGCTAATTATTATTATTACAGATAATAAGTATTGGGTATAATTATTAAATATCATTATTAACAATAATAATACTCATTAAGAATTGTTATCATTAAAGATCACGGTAATTATTATTAAGCCTGTGTGGCAGCCCAACATGTCTCACCTCACCACGCTTGGGACAACCCTTGACTCTGTCATTACACCCCACAGCAAACTCATTATGCATAGTACAGACTGTTGGAAAATTCAAGGTAACAGTGACGTAGAGCAAATTCTAGGCAAAGAAGATGATTTAGTATGGTGCTTCATAATGTGCGGTGTTCCTTGGTTACTGTCCTTCGTGAACTATTTATTATGTATTTGTTTACTGGAGACAGATATCTCCCACATTACCTTTCCATCATTCATTTATAGGATTCATTTATTACACCTACTATGTGCCAGGCGTCACCCACCATCATAGATACAGGTAAGAACGAGTCCACACTGTGACCGTAAGCATTGTAAAGCCGTCTTAAGCAGGCATAATGGCAGTTTATACTGCCCTTCCCTGCATGGAATAGCCCCATTTAGACCTTTTAACTCTTACATAGTGGTATATGATCTTTGTCAAAGGAAGCAGGATCATCTCTACCTCTAGTGATTTAAGCATATGCACACACACACAGCCCTGTACCCGGTGGTGCCATAAGCTGCTTCACCACTAATACCTGTGTCTACAGAGGTTTCAGTGCTGAAAATCCATGTGCAGTTCCTAATGTGAACGTCTGAGTGTCACATCTGGGGGCCAGAGATAAGGCCTTGAAATGAATCTAGCTACTCCATCAGCTAGCATTCATCCATGACTAAGAAAGTCTAGGAAAGCCTGAAAAGCTCCTATTAATTTCAAAGTAGCAGTACAACCAGTGGGATACAAAACACAACATTAAATCTCAGGGATCGTTAACATGTAAGAGACTTATGTTTTATAACTGTCTCCTACATGTTTTGGTTTCGTGAGTGAAGGGAGCAACTGTTGGCTAGCACACAGCAATGATTCCTTCTTGTCAGGAGCAACTGCCAACCCCTCACAGGTACCACCTACTCTAGAAGATGGCTCAGTGGATAAAGTGCCTGCTGTAGGAATGGGGAACAGGGTTCAGATGCCCAGCACAATGTGCAAGCCATATACAGTGGCACACGTATCTGTGGCTGCAGCACTCGGGGCCAGGAGCAAGGAGAATCATGGGCTCACTAGCCAGCCAGCTTAGCCAAAGTGGCAAGCTTCTGGTTCAATGGGATATCAAAAAGGAAGGTGGAACATGATATAGGAAAACACCCAATATCAACTTCAAACCTATATATGCACACATAAACACACACACACACACACACACACACGGATACATGGGCATATGTGGGCACACATAAACGAGAACATACATTGGCACATGCAAAGTCACAAATATTATAATAGGTTGTATTCCATTGCTAGAAAAATCAATTGTTTGACCAGTACTTGATTGATTTAACAATTATGGTTTTATAACAAAATTCGGCTTTTACAAGAAAGATAAGAAAAACTGATGTAATTACTAATGACAATGGTGAAATAAGTAAAGAAAAATAGCAAATTAGTATAATTGAAGTGAAAATTAAGGCATGAGACTAAAAAGCCTTTGAGAACAGGTCACCTCTAGGGAAGCAAACCATAAAAGGACGAGTAAAAACGTGCACTCCAAAAAGAAGTAATTACTCAGTCCCACCTATTATACCCAAGCAAAAGAAGAAAAGAGAAAAAGATAGGTAGGGTATTTACAAAATACTTCAAAAATAAATTTAACAATGGGAAGAGTAAATAAAGTAACTTCAATAAAACAGCAGCAGCATAAAACTATACAGTTACAACTTACAAGCAGTCATGGAGACAGAGAAAATAATAACAAAACCCCGGCTTTAGCCCTATATTTGAGCTTATGGCATTATTTTTCTTTTATTGTAGCACAGACCCATTTCCAGATGATCAAGTGGAGAACTTTGGACCTTTTGATCGTAAGCCTTGTTAAGCCTTTTACAATTGCTGGAGGTAGTTTAATCTGAGGACAGGCACTTGGGCCCCAGCCATTTACTAAAAATCATGACTAGTTCAGGCAAGCAGACCATATACTGTTCTCCATCATCGCAGACACAAAACAGGGCTTTCTCCGGTGGAGAAGCGTGTTTCCCTGCTGTCGTCTGTTCTGATGCTGAAGCGGCCATTTTCACTGTGATGGCTCTGAGGAAGGACGAGCATCGGAAAGGGCTGTAGTTACAGTCTCTGTACTGCTGTGGCCGTATGAACAAACAAGTGGGGAGGTGGCTAACTGTTATGAAGGCCCTGGGGTGGAAGGCAGGTGGCCCTGGGGTCAGATCCTGCTACTGTCACTCTTTGCCTGAGTCAGTGACTGCTGATAACTTATCTGGGGCTCTCCAAGACTCAAAATCTCCCAGCTAAAATAAAAATGATTGTGTGTGTGTGTGTGTGTGTGTGTGTGTGTGTGTGTGTAATACATTTAGGTCATCTGAGATGCAGCTCTCAAACAGTGCTTCCTATTTTTATTTTTTTAAAAGTGGGTATTAATGCCATTTTACAGAGGGGGAAAAAAACAACCATATCTTCGATACTTTTCAGTAAGCAAGGCTCATGACACCAAAAAGTGTTCCTTCAAATAAAAATGACACTAATAGTGACTGGATAGCCTATCACTGAATGACCGAGTGAAACTAATAACCACCGGATGGCTTATTACACAAACAAGAATAACTGACAGCATTCAGCATGCCCCGTGGCAAAAAGCACGGCCCTGGGCGGCTCCTCTTCAGTGGAGACATGCTGTTAAGTATAATTACACTCGATTTTAATGACTTAATGCCAAAAGAAGCAACAAAAGTAAATGTATCCTAAACATTTTTTTTTTTTTTAGAAAATGAATTTTGTGTAGATATAATACTTGGATATACCGAATTACATACGTTTTTAAAACTGTTATCTGTTTCTTTCGCTTGTTTTAAGTGGGGCGGTTAGAAATCACTCACGTCAGAGGATACGCTTCTGCAAGCTACCTGCCAAATAGCAACACGCAATGGCTCTTCCCACAAGCGGTGAGCTCACCACGAACTGGGACCGAGACAGTGCACAACTGTCCTGTGCACTTCTTGCACGCGCACTACCCCCCCCCCCCCCGGGGGAGGATCTTCCCTGTGGCTTCCAGACCTTAGGTGACTTAAGAACAGATGACATTTTCTGTTTACCTCCAGATGGCCAAATGTGGTTGCTTCTCTTCTACACTGTGCAAACCCAGGGCCGCTGCTTGATTCATACCACGGCTGAGTCTACCTAAGCTCCTGACTCCTTCTACCGTGCATGATCTTCAAGGGATGCTGCTGCACTGGCATGGGCAAAATGAGGGAAACTAGAATGGTCTCCCGTCATGCAAAGGTTCTGTTACCATTTCCTCACGTTAACCATGTGAGGAGGTTATTATTGACCTCAGCTAAGAAACTCTGAATCCGAAAATGATGAGAAAATGACACAGCCAAGGAAAAGCAGCAACTCAGCCCATCTAAATGCCTCACTCTCCCTTGAAAATAATATTCCAGGCTCCACCCACAGGAACCTGACAACTTGCCCTGTTAGCCAACAATCCTTTCGTTCCCTTGAGCGGCATGTGCTGCTGGATCAGTGGATTTTTTTTTTTTTTTTTTTTTTTTTTTTGAAGATTCCTGATTGTGGGGACAGCGCTAGA